AGTTTCTCTGGTGCGGATTGTGATAATCAAACAGGTGTTTGTAAATCTGGTCCTCCCGTACTTGCCTAAAAAAAAAAAAAATTAGTGAAAGGTACATATTTGTTTAAAGATATAATGGAGTGGGTGATAAATACTTTCAAATTTTGTGTAAAAATTCAACATTTGTTCCATCAAATGCTTTTTTCAAATAAAAACGCGTGAATTTTTTGATTAATAAATTTTGAAAAAAAAAAAAATTTCTTTTTGAATAAATTTTAATTGTTTATCGGGTAATCTGGTAACGTTCTTTCATTATTCGGAGATTAATTCAAATTAAGAATTAGTCACAAGTTCTGTTCATCTGTTTTAATCGCATTATGACTAATCTAAAGAATTAATAACGTTTGCGCGCATCAATAGAGTTAAAGGAATAATAGCGACCATAAAATTGGAGTTTTGAAATATCAAATATCTTCATTTTTTAAACCATTTTGGTTACCACCAGTAATTTTTGCGGGTGGTGATACGCAATTCGTCATAGTTATTTCGATTTGAATAGGTTGACGAAGTAGTTGTCACGACAGGTCCTCGGATGAACCCTAAAACGCCCTTGGTCACTTTGACTTGAAATTTATAATAATATGATGTCATTTGAGATTATTTCAAGGCCATTCAGCCAACACTTCCCTGAAAATAATGAAATTCTCAAACTGCGGGATTTTGTCCGGAAATGATCCAAGCCAAAAAAGGAAATAGAAAGAAAGAACCACCAATTAAAAGAACGGCCTGCAATTTTAAATAAAAAATTTTAAAAAAATTTACTTGCCACCGCCTTATTTATTTATCATGAAAATTTTTAATTTTCATGTACAAAGAAAGAAATTTTACAAGAATCGAATCCAAATAAAATTAGTTCATTAGCTTTAATAATATCATATGTTAGACTAAAAAAAGAAATTTTAAATGCGGAAGTTTGATAGGAAAATCAAGTTCCGATTATATGATCCATTAATTATTTAATTTAAGTAAACCTTATGATATTTAGTAAGAAATTTAGCGAAATTAACAATTCCTTTCCTTTGTAAATAGGAAATTGGATCACTTACATCCGAACTTTCTAACTTTATGAATGAACATAAACGAGGTGTAACCTAACATTTGGTACACATCCTTTTGTTTCTTCAGTCACGTTCTGACGTATCCCGGTATACCAGGTGTTGGTATACTGGTGACCCTATTGCGTAATACCAAAAAACTAGAACTGGCCGATATTAAGAAAACTTCATTTTGGATGTTAACGATATTGTAAATAAGATTGAAGTATAATTATTGAATAACGTTTGGTATTGAAATAGTTCAAGCGAAGAATTTTTAAATGAATGGGCCATGTGCTTTGTGCTAGTTCTGAACATATTTAAGTTACTAAAGTCATTACAACTGAATTTAGATGATTGAGATTGGACGAACGAATTGAAAAAAAAAAAATTTTGTTACGAGAAAAAAATTAAATACCCATTACCTGAAGGCCTTTTATTCCTTGCATTTTACTATGAGCAAAAAGGACAGAAAAACTATCTTGATCGAGGATTATTTATCATATTGTTACTAATTTCATCGCCTTCAATATAGCATTGTAAGGTATATTATAAACGGGACGATCCAGTTGCTTAAACAAAGAATGCAAATGCGCAAGTTTTGATCATCACAATCACAATAGAATAGAATTTTTTTTATTGTTTTTTTTTTTTCTGCTTTGTATTATAAATGGTTCAAAAAAAGCGCTCATTAATTCAGTAATTAATAAAAAAAAAAAAAAGATGAATTTTCCAAAATATGATGGAAATATTCATCCAGACGAATGGATAAATGATATTCAAAATTATTTTAATCTTAAAGAAATTGATGCAAAACATCATTTAAATTATGCTATATCATTAATAGATAGCGTTATCAAACTCCCAAATAAAATCGATAGTTTTGAAAAACTACGTAAAGCACTTAAAGAGGACATCTCCTTTATGGTGTTCAAAAATACGAATAAAATAAAGTTACGATTATTAAAATTTATTCCTGATAGAAAAGGTGGCGAATCCTCAAAATTTATCACTAAATTTCGTAGACTTTGTCGTGATGCTGAAATTAATTTACAAGAGCAAAAGAATTATCTTTATTTATCACTTCCAAGTAATTATTTTTTAAGTGAATCTTATAAGATAATGAAAAATGTCAACTCAACAAGTGAATTAATTGAAGTATTTGGGAAATTCGTTATAGATGAATCAAATTTAATTAGAAATAATTCAATTGTGGCTTTTAAACACGTTGCTACAGGAAAATATTTAAGTTCAAATAATAAATTATGTTATACGACAGGAAGTAAGACTCAATTGATATGTTTTTATAATGTTTTGTTGTGTTGGACAAATTTTTTTAAAATATTTATAAATATAGGTTTTTGTTAATGATTTGTTTGATTTGGATGCTTTATGGAAAATTACATTTACGAACGGTAAAGAACTAGATTCATACATCGATACTACTATATATTTGCGACACAATAATTCTGGAAATTTCCTTGGAATTCCTAATTATAACCAAAAACTTCAATTCGTCAGTAATAATTATAAATCTCCAGTAACTGAACACTTAGAAGGTAACCATTACCTTAAATTCCAATTATCAATTTTTTTTAACAAAACGGTTCAATAATATTGATATCTTAACTACTTTAGTAAATTGTGGCCTATTAAAGTATGGAAATACTATATGGAAGTTGAATAATTGCGATAGTAAATTAGAAAATTATCAAGGATATTTGAAATCGAATGATATTATTAATCTTGGTAATACTGATTGTAAGTATTTTTACGTAGTCATGATTTTCAATTTACTATTAATAACGATACTTTTCAAGAAGTTGCATGTCATAATGAAAGACTAGGTGGCAATGATGAGGTATCAAATGATTCATTTTGATTATTCAATTATTGACATATTTATAAATATTAAAGACTTTATTTTCTTTTCTTTTAGTGGAGCATTGAACTCTATCAAGCAGTATAAATTATATATGTTACTAACTACGAAATTAAATATTTTAACCTTCTTAGACAAAATGGTTTGAACATTCATTTGGTAAAGCCAATGATAGCTTATACATATGTAATACGATTTGTACATGCGTTATAGTCAATGACCTAGTGTTATTAATTCATCATGGGTTTAAAGAGAGCGAAGAAAGATATCAAAGTTCTTGATCGATATATAAGTTTTGTGGTATGTTCATTTAAGAAACACCGCATTGATTTGGAATTGTTGAAATCGTTGGGTTGAACAACCTATAGGCGCAATGGACGACCGACGTTACAAATCCTTCGTTATATCGCCATGTTTTCAATTTTTGGGAACCTAATCATCAATTTATTTCGGTTTACAGATAAATATATGCAGGATTTTGAAAGAAAATATGATGTCATTCTTATTTGATGTAGTCAGGTGTTTTTAAGATAGTTATCTTTATTATCTCATTATTATGGGTTTTTGACGTTGACTTTAGGGTTTGTTAATTTGATGAGATCATCCGTTGTTAAAGTGGTGGAAACTATTAAGGCCGTTTTCACTAATACCACGTTTCTATATTCAACCTGGAATTGTTTTCATTGATAAATAATTCAAAGATGAACAATTTGAAAGGAACTACATGTTTACCAAATATAACCAATTAAACCTTTGCATCCTATACTAAAAAATAAATTGCTCTAACAACTTATTTTCTTACTGTGACGCAGAATCTTCAGATTGATACTTTATCAATAGTTGATTCCTTAAATAAATTATTAATAGTCATTCCTTAAAATTTTTGTTTGGTCGATATAATAAATGTATTTTGTTTCCAGTTCAAGATACTCTAAGCGAATGTGTGTAATGCCTACTTTACAGAAACTTTGTTTCCTTACTATTCAGTAACTGCATAGTACCTATTAGGCTGCGATTAAGCTACTACGAAGTTAGGTAGTAACCATATATTTACTATTCAGTCACTTTGCAGTTACTGTGTATTAAGAAAACCAAGTTTCTGTAAAGTAATAAAGCTCATCATTTTTAATGCCAAATTAGCTCACGAATTAAAAATTATCCATTAACACAGTTAAAAAAAAAAAAGAGAGTGGATTGAAAATTTATATGAAACCTTTAATAAAAAAGAGAGAAACAACTGGAAAAAATAAAAAAAAATGGGTTGAAGCTAAATCTGAATATACAGTAAGTATTTTTGACCTAAAAATCATATTTAGCATATAAAAGTAAAAATTGAATTTTTTCTCTTTTCTGTATAAGTTACATATATTTATGAAAAATTATATAATTTAATAAATACTTAATAAATATTTATAATTAAATAAACAACTTTAATAATTTTTAAAAATCTAATTCATTTTATTAATTTATATTAAAAAATAATAAAAAAATAAATAAAAATTTATAAAATAGTATATTTAGAAACAATTTTATAACCCAAAAATAGTATTACAGAATTGCAACTAGTTGTAGTATTAATAAAATTAAGATGTTAAAAAGTTTATAAAATCAGTTTCTAAACAGTCAGTTCAGATTAAATCCTTTAACTATAAGACTGCAACTTTAGGACTTGCAGTCCTAGAATTGCAATCCTATAAAACTTAAAACCTGCAATTCTAAAACTGTAATCTTATAGAAATTAGGACTTGTAATATAAGGACTACAGTCTTAATAATATATAAAATTCAGTCTATTAAAATACTATAGATCATAAGAATTTTGATTAAATAATAAAAGACTGTTTTTTATAAATTATAATGTATTATTTAACTAGAATAATAAAAAATATTTAACTTAAACAATAAAAAAATTATTCAAAAAGAATAATAAAAAATTATTCAACTTAAACAATAAAGAATTATTCTATTTAAATAATAAAATATTATTCTTTTTGAAGATAAAATATCATTTAACTAAAACAATAAAAAATCATTTTTCTTAAACAATTTTTTATTATTCTAATTAAATAATATATAATCATTTAATAAAATTTTTTATGTTTTAATCAAATAATTTATTTCATTTAAGTGAATGATTTTTTATCATTCTTTTTGAATAATTATTTTATCAATTAAGTTGAACAATTTTTCATTGTTCTTTTCAAATAATTTTTATCTTTCTAATCAAATGATTTATTATTCTAATTATATAATATATCATTATTTATAAAGAATAGTATTTTACCATTCAATTAGAATATTTATTATTTATATTATTTTTAGTAGATTAAATTTTATATATTATTAAAACTATAATTCTAAAATCATAGATTTTAAGTTTTATAGGATCTCAGTTCTATAACTGTAAGTCTTAATTTTTATAGAATCACAGTTTTAAGACTATAAATCCTAATTTTTATAAAATTGTAATCCTAGAACTATAATATCAAGACCTAATATTACTAATTTTAAAATTAAGTCTTATAAACTAAATTTTCTTTAAAACTATAAATTTTAGGATCAAACTAAAATCAGATTGGATTTTAATATCCTTAAAAAAATAATATTATATAAATAAATATATTTAATAGTTAAAATATATTCTATTATATCTATTCATATAATATTGTTTTTAATTAATTCTATCAAAAATCAAATATTATATAAATCTTTGTAATAAAAAGAAGAGAAATTATCAGAAAATCAATTTTAATTTATATATTAAATATGATTTTTAGATCAAAATATATTTAGATTAGCATTAACTTATTTTTTCTAGCTATTTTCTTCTTTTTTATTATAAAAATCTTATATTTATTAATAAAGTCTTATATATTAATATTATTTATTTATTAAAATTTATTTTAATCTAATAATTTTAAATTTTGAATTTTTTTTTTAAAATTTAATTTTAAAATTATTAATTATAATTTTAATAACTTTTATAATTATTAAAAAAATATATTTTATTCAATAATTTTAAAAAGTTAATATATAATTATTTAACTATTAAATTTTTATTCTAATAAAATAATTAATATATTTTTTAATTAAATTATTTTACTATAATTAAATAATAAATATATTATTTTATTAAAATTATAATTATTATAAAAAACTGTAAATAATTATAAAATTATTTAAATATTTATAAAATTTCTAAAATTATAGAATTTGTAAAATTTTTAAAAATTAATTTTTATTTGCAAAATTTTGCAAAAATTTACAAAATTTTATAAATTTATTTTTATATATTTATTTACAAAATCTTTTAGAGGTTAAAATTTTTTAAAAATTTATATAAAATAATAAAATCTTTTAAAAATTTATAAAAATAAGAATTTTTAATAATATAAATCCTTTAAATTATAAAATTTTTAAACAAATTTTCTATATATTTATTATAAAATCACTTTTGTTTATTTTATTAAATTTATAATA